ATCTATCTATCTATCTATCTATCTATCTATCTATCTATCTATCTATCTATCTATCTATCTATCTTGACAAACAAACCCACCCAAATACTACACATAAATATAAGATATACATAAATATAAGCTAAAGTATTAAGTAAACCTTTCCTATAGGAAGGTTGGCAATTGTTTTTCTGGAAGAGAAAGGTAAAAGGAGGGGTGGGTTGCTGGGGGTTCTCAGGGGTTCGGGAGAGCCCCTAGCTCTCCCAATTCTGTGCAGTTTGGAGAACCCCCAAATCCCACTCCTAACTGGCCTCGCCCATCCCACCGGCCCCTCCCAGGAGTCCCCACACAGTCCATTTTGGATGCAGGTAAGTGCAGGGCACACATGGAGGCTTGGGGAGGGTGAAAAACGGGCCTCCCAGAAATTTGGGAAGGCTGGAAATGGGCCTGTTTCTGGCTTCCAGAAAGCCTTCGGAGCCCAGGGAGGCCATTTTCACCCTCCTAGAGGTTCAAGGAAAGCCTCCGGAGCCCACGGAGGGCAAAAACATCCCCCCCATGGTGCAGGAGACTGACTAGGCCACGCCCATCATAGCCATGCCCACCCAGCAAGCGGGCAGAGAACCCATTACTAAAATTTTCGAAGGCCACCCCTGGGTAGAAGGGCATAACAGCGAGGGAATTGTCTAATGCATTATTTTTTTAAACTTTTGCAACTTTAAAATGAGTGGAATTAATTTCCAGAAGAATGTCTGAGTTGGGGATTCTGGGAATTGAAGTCCACTCATCTAAAAAGTATTAAGTTATTAAGACCAAAAGTAAACAATATATAGAAACAATAAGTAGACATTCTGTTGGAGCCAGCACTCTTTTCTTTTGACCTCAGAAATGAACTTTAGAATGTATTTATTTTTATCCCACTTCATTCCCGTGTAATGGAAGTTAGTAAAATTCACTATTTGAATTCAGAGACCAAACTAATGAAATGAAAAACCTCCAACTTTCCTCTACCCTTGCATGTAATATTGCAAACGAACTGAAGAGCAAGTAATATTGTGTGTATGTGATAAGATATTATTTTATTTTGAGATGATTTACTACCTCTGCTTTAGTCCTAGTGTACATGCTTGAATATACACGTATGAAGAGAAATTGTCAATGCACTCTGTTTTCCCCATAATCCATATTTGCCATGTCATATAGTAAGTCAATTTGAATTGTAGTATTGTTTAATACTGAAGATCTAGTTAGACAATTTCATTGTTTAATAGGAAATCAAGCTCTTTATGCTGATATTCTTTTTATATAAAAAAAGAAAAGGGTTAGAACAATCACCACCCGTTTGCCAGATTTGCAAACCTTGCCCTCATTAGTGATGTGTTTTATGTATGCCATTAATGAATATCACCCTCAGCAGAAGCTGTGTACCGATGCTAGTTTTAATCTCAGAGGGGATGGAAAAATTGTATTTGTTGACGGAAGGAAGGAAGATACAGCTGTCTTCTTGTTTTTCTGCAATAAGGAACCATTTATATGAGAAGATAGAGAAGAGGCTGTGACTGCCCGAATAGCTATGCTTTCATATGCATTCCAGAGAAATTTGATGTATTTGACTTAGTCCTTACTTTTGATTTCAGGTACCTATCAGGGCCAGTTCACCAATGGCATGCGCCACGGTTATGGAGTTCGTCAAAGTGTCCCATATGGCATTGCAGCTGTGGTCCGCAACCCTCTAAGAACCTCCCTTACATCCCTACGGAGTGAGCATAGCAATGGCACACTGCTACAACATGATTTGCCATCAGCAAACCAGGAACATGTTCTTATATCACCTACCATAACTCGGGGTGGCTTTGCTCTCAGCTTGTATGCAGATGGAGACACTGGCAAATTAAAGAAGGGTGGACTCTTCAGGAGGAGCTCCTTGTTTGGGAAACTCAAGAAATCTGACTCCAAGACCTCTTTGTCCAGCCAAAGGAGTCGACTCAGTTTCCTTAAGAGTGAGAGTGGTATGAGCTCTACAGGTAGTGATGCTACCTCCACCGCCAGTCTGGGAGAAGGAGTAGAAGGAGAGGACTTCCCACCTTTTGATGCTGATATTGATGCCACCACCACAGAATCCTATATGGGAGAGTGGAAGAATGACAAGCGTTCAGGGTTTGGCATAAGTGAGAGATCAAGTGGCCTGAAGTATGAGGGGGAGTGGCTGGATAACGTGCGGCATGGATATGGTTGTACCACGTTGCCTGATGGGAAGAAGGAAGAAGGAAAATACCGCATGAACGTATTGATCAAAGGCATGAAGAAACGGGTGATACCTCTAAAAAGTGCAAAGATAAGGCAGAAAGTGGACCGGAGCATAGAAGGTGCTCAGAGAGCAGCAGCCATCTCCAGACAGAAATCTGAGATTGCAGCTTCTAGGTAAGGATCACAAACTTGGAATTTTTGAATGGCTATCGAGTAGAAACACCATCCAGCGCCCTTTTGTAATTGAATTCTATTTGCAGTTGTTGATCAAACCTAAAATACTCATGAAACTGAGCTTCCATTTGTAGTGGCTTCAGCTTAGAGATCTTCAGAAAATATAACTTTTCCAGAAATTAAATATCTGCATCTAGGAAAGGAAAGAAAGCCTTTTGCATCCAGTGTTTAATATGTCACCCATAAAGAGTGATAGAGAAATTTGGAAAGATAATAGAAGGAGAATCTGTATGTCTTGTATTATAATTCAGCTTCATGCCACTGCTGCCTATATCCAGGTCAAGATGTATTTAATATAGGGGAACATGGTTTTTGGGGAAAACAAACCAACATTTCAAATTGTTTAGTTTTTTAGCTAAGGCAAATCTTGACTATTGTCCCCTCTTACTAGCAGTATGTTTCCAATGTTTTAAACAAAGAACTTAGCAGATTTGCTTCAAATAAAATTTTGAACTAAACAGAGGTATGCAATTATAATCTTCACAGCATCAGTTTATATCGTTTCTCAATTTGGCAATTTTAGCATACGTAGACTTCAGCTCCTGGATTTCCCAGCCAGCATGGACAGGTCTGGATGGAGAGAAATCACCTTTATCTTATTTCTAGTAAGACTATGAGAGACTATGGTTATTACAGTCCTCTTGATCTGGGGATTTTCCATCTTGAATCATAGATGGGATTGTAGTTCTCCATTTAAGATTGGTGCACAATCTGGGCTTATCTTGAATTCACAGTTCCTACTCAAAGAGTAAGTGGCAGCTTTGGCCAATAAGCATATAGCTTCATCGTGTGCACCAGTTGCATTTCTTCCTGGAACTGGAGACTTGTAGGTGCAATTCATAGTATTGGTTATCATCTACAAAGCCAAACATGGCAAGGGCCAAGTTATCTGAGTGATGAACTGTCTTCCATAGTGTATGTCCATCCAGTAAGAGCTGGTGGATTTGGTTTATCTCTTGATTAAACAATGCCATCTGTTAGGATCCAGGAAGCATTCCTTCTCTGTCACAATACCTGCCTTTTGGCATGAAATTCAAAAGTTTAGAGTTCCAGAAGTTTAGAGATTCACGTGGTTCCTATCCTGATGGAGCTCCATAAAACTTGGCTCTTCTTTAGGCTTTGGGATAGGGTGGATTTGGCCTCCTTGTTAATCATGTTCTATATCTATACAGTGGTGTATTGTTTGGGAGGATGTTACATGGTTTTTATATCATATTGTTTATTTTTATAATGCTGGCTGTTTGAATTGTGAGCTTTCCAGAGTCATTTTGAAGTCATTTTGGAATCAAATAAAATAAAAATGAAAGTTTTTAGAGAAGTTCAGTTGAATTTATGTTTTCAATTTGAGAAAGATCATTTTGTGTTTCACCAGTTCATATAACTTGAACTTTGAACTGGACTTTTTTTTTCTGGAACTGTTAGTTGTTTTCTGCTTCACTGGTTAACAAATCTTTTTTAGTGGTTATTGCAATCCTTTACAGTAATAGTATATGTCAGAAACTGAATCTTAGATTGTAGTGTTACCACCATTTATATCAGGGATCTCCAACCTTGGCAACTTTAATCCTGGAAGACTTCAACTCCCAGAATTCCCTAGCCAGCTGAGATCCCTGATTTATAGGGATGAGCAGTTCAGAAAACTATAAAGAGATTAGGCCCTGCTTGCAAGATTTCTGAAGAATGTGGATGGTTGCTATTCAGTCATCAGGATGTTAAAAATCAAAAGTGTCCAAGGCCTTTTAAGCCAGTGGTTCACATGCCTTTTAAGGGGAATTTACATTTCAAAAACTAGACAAGGATGGAATAGAAATATGCAGGTGAATTGTCCTTAGAGGAGTATAATGAAACCATATGCAAGCTGTGCCAAGGTTTAGGTCAAGGGAGACTTTGTGAGGACTTAGCCATTTTAATGTTCACCTCTCTATAGGCTCAAGTAACTACCTTACTGGCAACACTGCTCAATTTAAGAGGAGTCATCTCCTTTGGATCAATGAGTATATTCTATCATCACAGACCAAATATGCTTGGGATTTAATTAGGACTTACATGCTATATAAGGGCAGAATAAAGAAGGAAGATAGGGATATTACCACAAAACCAAAATTAAAATTGCTTTCCATTTTATGTAAAATTACTGTAAATTCAAGTAATTTAATACTATTAATATGATTGTGAGCTATATTTTAATGCTTTCTGCTTTCTCTTCAATTCAAAGATGTATGCACGACTTGGCAGAAGAGTGGGGTGCAGTACATAATATGTAAAAGAAAGCAGGACCAACACTGCAAAGAAAAAAGAATGAATGTTGAGATATTAAAGAATAAACAACTACAAAGTATTGTCATTAAATTAAAACATTAAATTAAAACAAATTAAAATTAAACAGGACAAGAAGCAGTGGGTGGAAACTAATCAAGGAGAGAAGCAACCTAGAACTAAGAAATTTCCTGATAATTACACCAATTAATCAGTTGAGTGACTTGCCTCCAGAAGTTGCGGATGTTCCAACATGGGAAATGTTTAAGAAGAAATCGGGACAACAGGGTTTCCTGCCTGAGTAGTGGGACCTCTAAGGTCCCTTCCAATTCTTTTATTCTAGTATTCTATTAAATATCCATATAACCATTTTTAACATGAAAGATCACCGTATTGATCTTCCATAAATATATGGAGATGGACAATTTCATTTTGAACAAGTATTTATGAATAGCATTCTCAAGATAAATTTGAACACACATGAAATACATTTAGCAATTTTGTTAGGTAGACACTTACCCATCATTAAATACTAGTGTTATATTTAGTACATTAACCATTTTAAAGTTAGGCCTGGATATACTGGTGTGGGTCTGCTTATTTTTTATCTGTTCACCTTTGAGAGTAGAATTTTGCTTTGATATAATTTTCCAAGGATTTTTTAAAAACAGATCTTCAGAAATTTCCCCTAAATTAGATAACTTTGTTATGGGACTGCATTTACATTTTTAAAAACTGCATGAGGGGGTCAAGATATCTCTTCCATCTTTAACCATAAAGAGCCTAATTTGTTTCCATGCAACCATCCGTGTCTCCTTCGGACTTCTTGGAATAATCATGAGAATATTGTATTGAATAATCACATGGCTGATCCAACATGGCTAGGCAAGATCCCTACAGCGTGCAAAGGGCTGGCATAGTTTTAAATACACAAAATATCTTAAAGGTTAAAGAAAAATAGAAAAGACTTGTAGTTTGCATTATAAAGCAAGTATAACCTCTATGCATATCCTGTATGTTTTTCTGCGGAAGAACAAATGTTGTCTTTAATTGAAACAGTTATATGGATGCACAACATGGACAATATATACTAAAAAAAAAAACCAGGTAATAAATACAACCCCTCCCCTCATTAAAGACTAACTGAGACACTAAAATAACAACTTCATTTCTACTACTATTAATTTCACTATGGATCTGCTAAGGATAGAGCTTCCAAATTTATTCTCAGCAGAATCCGTAATAAAATTCTTTTTCATCCATTTCTGAATTGAATGCAATACATGGATTGTTTAATTAGTACAAGAATCAATGTATTTGCAGAGAGATCAACTGTATCTTACTCATGGCATTGTGTGTCTAAGCGTGAGCTCCTGGAGTTGCAACATTGGTGGCAAATCCTATGTTGATTAACTAGCAATGTTCCAAATGTTCCTTTTCTTAAAACTGCAGAAAACAAGCCCTTGAAAGAGTTTGGTCAGATTGGTGCAACGGTGCATTGGAACCAAAGATATATTGGGCTGTCTGGACTAGCAGCTTAAAAGAGATTTATGCAAAGCACTCTACCCCTCAACCCCATAGTAACATAACGACAGCATTGGCCTGTGTAGTTTATTTTACACAAAATATGATGGATATTTTTCTGTATTGATTAAACAAAACAAAACCTAGATTTATAAGCAGAAAAATTACTCTACACAGAAGACCCATTTGAAGACATCTTTACCCCATCTGTATTTTTGTTCTTGAAATTGGGCCTCTAGTGCCTCAGGGATAGATTTAACAGATAACACATAATCAGAGTTGGAAGGGATCTTGTAGGTCATCTAGTCCAACCATTTATATTTATATTATATTGACTCAGGATAGATCTATATTGAAACAACATTGTAATGTAAAGGTGGGCTGAGTTTAAAAAATGCTTAAGAGTTGATCACATTTGTGGAAAGAACAAAACTCTATTCATGTTAACACAGGGGATACTCTGCTGCTGTGAATAACTTCCATGTGCAAGAAGAGCAGCTACAAGGCTATGAATAATGATGTTGGAGTGGCACTGGGCCATTTATAAAAAGCTCTTTTTATAAAAGGCACTATTTACACTTCAAATCAAAGGGGGAACTCTGAGTGGTTTACATCAGGGATTGGAATGCTTTTCTCTGTTAGCACGGGTTGGACATAATTTCCTATTAAGGAAACTTTCGAGCAAAAGAAAGGAGATACATAGAGCCATTTTCTTCCTCCATAGGTCTTGCACAAATGCAGCTGTTTGAGGCTTTGCAGAGATACTCCGCAAGTTCAGGTCTTCCATTTTCTTCATACAAGGTTAAGAGTAAGCAGTGTAGCTATTACTCTTGCTGATGATACTAAATCATTTAGAATATTTAAAACAGAAATAATTGGTGAGGGAGCATCAAAAGTTTATCTCCAAGCTTGAGAAATGAGAATAGGGATAAAAAAAAGTCATTAAGTGTAAAAAAGTAGAAAGTGGAAAATCCACTAAGTTTCAATGAATTGATGGGAATCTGAAGTGCTGCTGCTGCGGTTGAATTGTGGTTTTAATGTTTAATGAAATGTGACACAATATATATTTATGGTAAAATAATGAATGATGTGGCACAACTTTTGTTTGGTAGCATCAGAACATGCATTAATCTAACAGAGTTGGGATTTCTGATTCACTC